CACTGGTTGATTTGCAAAAAACACGACAGCAGGTTCAGTACACAGGGAATGTTGGGGATGCTAGATACCCGTAAGTCAACAGTAGTTGTTTCTCATGCACTATATCAATCTGATATACTAACTGTATAGCCAAAATAAACTGCAGTTGATTGATTGGTTAACTACATAATTCATATATGATTCACCATATGCTGACTCTTGGAAACCTGGATAATTGTTAAGAAGGGTAAGGTCAAACCATTGTTGGCAAAAAGATTTTGCATCTTTGTGGAGATATTGAATTGTATATGCTCCAGCAAATACATCTCGTATCTAGAATATAACACTTGGTTTGCTCATATGAAATGTTTGGCAATTTCTGCTTCTTTTTTCTCCTAATATAATGTTACTGCATGCAGGCACCCTTCTCATTGGGTAGGGTTAGCTTTCTTTCTACTCCGGATGGGGAAAACTGTGGACTTGTCAAGAATTTGGCCATTACTGGACTTGTCAGTACAGAGATATGGGTTGGAGTCTGAAGATTCTGATTTGGTTGTAGCTGAGCTTAGACATTTGCGACAGAAGAAGAAATTGCCTCGACAGGTTCTCCTTTTCAATATATCAATGATACTAAACTTTTAGTTGTTTGAGTGCTAAAGCCATTTTGCGGGCCTATGGTAGAGAGTTGAGAGAGTTTGATTGTGTGACCTGAGCTGCTCTTTTTTTTTTATGTGGTTGTTTTTGTTGCTTTCCTGATGTATTTGGTATTGATTTCTGATAGGTGGAAATCAAAAGAGAAGAACAGCAAAAAGAAGTACGCATATTTTCTGATGCTGGAAGGATTCTACGTCCCCTTTTTTTGTTGAGAATTTACATAAAATAAAAGCATTTAAAGATGAAAATTTCACCTTTCAATCTCTACTGGACAAGGGAATTACTGAATTTGTTGGAACCAAAGAAGAAGAGGACTGCAGCACTGCATGGGGTATCAAATTTCTCATAGCAGGAGTTGATAAGAAGCAACCTTTGAAGTTCACGCACTGTGAACTTGACATGTCCTTTTTATTAGGTTTAAGTTGTGGAATCATTCCCTTTGCCAATCATGACCATGCAAGAAGAGTTCTATACCAGTCTCAAAAACATTCTCAGCAGGCTATTGGCTTTTCCACAACAAATCCCAACAGTAGAGTGGACACTTTGTCTCATCAATTGCACTATCCTCAGAGGCCACTTTTTCGGACAGCGACTGCAGATTGTCTTGGAAAACCTAGATACACACAAGCATGAGGCCATCATGAAATGCTGCCGAAGCCAGAATTGTTTAATGGCCAGAATGCTATTGTAGCAGTCAATGTTTATCAAGGATACAACCAAGAGGAGTCCTTGGTAATGAATTGTGCCTCTTTGGAGCAGGGTATGTTTCGCTCGGAACATATCAGAAGTTATAAGGCTGATGTTGATAATAAGGAATCATTAGACAAAAGGCGAAAGTTTGAAGATACTGTAAATTTTGGGAAGATATAGAGTAAAATTGGCCGTGTTGACAGCCTTGATGATGATGGTTTTCCTTTCATTGATCCAAAATTTACAAAATGGTGATATTGTTATTGGGAGGTTTGCAGAATCTGGGGCAGATCATAGTATAAAATTGAAGCACACAGAAAGGGGTATGGTCCAAAAAGTTGTATTATCTTCCAATGATGAGGGAAAAAGTTTTGCTGCGGTTTCTCTGAGACAGGTATGTTTGTGAACACATGACATTTATAGCACATGTATGAATTTAACATCTGTATGTATGTGACTATATACTCTTGCATGTTTTCCTACATACTCGTACATGCACACATGACATATCCACATGGTAGATTATACTCTGATTATCTAGCCTTTTGCTTTGTTATATGATATCAGAAAATAATTACTTGCTCATAGGTTAAGCGTCCGACTTACAACTGCAGGTTCGTTCTCCATGTCTTGGAGACAAATTCTCTAGCATACATGGACAAAAGGGTGTTCTAGGCTTTTTGGAGTCCCAAGAGAACTTCCCCTTCACAAAAACCGGAATCGTTCCTGATATTGTTATAAATCCACATGCATTTCCTTCACGACAAACTCCGGGTCAACTCTTAGAGGCTGCTTTAGGAAAGGGAATTGCCTGTCGCGGTCCAATGAGATATGCCACCCCTTTCGCCGAACTGTCTGTTGAAGCCATCACAGATCAGCTTCACAGGTGACAATGCCTCTGATTCATGTCATAATATGCATTGCACCATGCAGAAATTGTTGATACATAACGTTTTCAAAATTTTATTTTATCCAAGTTGCTTTAGAGTTTAGGAATGAGAGAATGCGAATGTGGGTCATTTCTGAGTTTATGCCCGTACAGATAATTTTTATATTTGAGCTGTTCACTTGCACAAGTATCTGTGTGTTTCTCCTTGTTTTGAATAAATGATAGCCAGGATGATTTGTTCTATTGAATGTGCATGACAGAGCTGGATTTTCAAGATGGGGAAATGAGAAAGTTTGCAATGATCGAACCGGTGAAATGGTTCATTCTCTCATATTTATGGGACCAACATTCTACCAGCAGTTAGTTCACATGGCTTAAGACAAAGTAAAATTTCGCAACACGGGGCCTGTCCATCCACTTACCAGGCAGTCTGTTGCAGACCGGAAGCGTTTTGGTGGTATCAAGTTTGGTGAGATGGAGCGTGACTGCCTCATAGCTCACGGTGCATCTGCAAACCTGCATGAGCGACTTTTTACTCTCAGCGACTCTTAGCAGATGCATATTTGCCAGACTGCAAAAATTTCACGAATGTGATTGAACGGACAGTGCCACAAAGCCGCAAGATTAAGGCCCCTTATTGCAGAATTTGTGAATCTGCTGATGATACTGTGAAGGTTAATTTACCTTATGGGGCCAAGGTATTATGCCAGGAGCTTTTCAGCATGGGTATAAGTCTGAAGTTTGAAACTCAGCTTTGCTGAGTTGGTAAGGGTTTTGTGCTGTTGTGACTTGTCTATGGGCTTACTCAGCTTTCTAACCTGTACATGTTTTAATTGCATATTCCCCAATGACTATGTTACGTATAGAGTTAAAAAAATGATATACATATTTTTTAATTTACATGTTTTTGATCGGTAACAAGTTTTAAAAAATAATTAACTTATTTCAACAATAAGAAAGAAGTTATTAGACAGTGGCTCCAACGGGCGCTTTTAGGTAGCATTACTCTTTTTTTCTTTTTAATTTTAAAAATTAAAAGGATTAATGAAATCCCGAATAAAAACATCAACAAGTTTTATACTTAAAAATAATAATAATTTTAGAGCATTCCATATCCTCTCCTGAAAGGAGAGGTATGAAGACTGATAGGGAGAGGAAGGAGCGATAGCGAGAGGTATGCAATTGACTCGACCAACCCTTGAACCTAGCCTATAGAGAAGCCATCAAAACCAAAACTAACTCTCCCGAAAATGAAACTAAAACTTAACCCCTTTTTTGCCACCTGACTACGAAAACCGAGCTGAACGACAGGATTCAGTCTCTAACTCAGTAAATGTCCAATATGGGAACAAACATGCTCTCACCCAACACGAACAGTTAGCCTTCGACCCAATGGCTTAAGTGACAAAAAACAGTAACAATTCGCAACCACGGGGCCTGTCCATCCACTTACCAGGCGAGCTAGTTGCAAGACCGGTGAAGCCGTTCTTGGTTGGGTATTCAACGTTTGGTGAGATGAGAGCTGGTGACTGCCTCATAGCTCAGCGTGCATCTGCAAAGAAACACCGGCATGAGCGAACATGTTACTCTCAGCCGACCTTCTAAGCAGAATGCTATAGTTTGCCAGCACAGCCCACAAAATATCTCACCGATGTGAACAAATTCGCAAGAGCGGACAGATGCCACAGCGCAAGATTAAGCCCGATTGCAGAATTTGTAATCTGCTGATGGATACTTGTGGCGAGGGGGCTTATTTACCTGATGAGAGGCCCAAGGTATGGAATCGCCCAGGAGCTTTTCGCCCTGGTATAGTCTGGAAAGTTCTTTGACAAAATCTACAGACAATCTTTGCAGAACCTGTGGTTAAGGGTTTTGTGGCTGTTTGACTGGGTCGTCATATCTTGGGCCGCCCGCCCTTAACGTCGAGGCTTTGCCAACCTGCTTAGCCTGCTTCTAATTCGCGGGGGGCCACCGCGACCCTATTTTATTTCTCCCTTTCCAAACGCCGCCCAGAGTGACTCAGTTACGCATTATAGAGCTGAACGAAAAAAAATAAAAGATCCCATAAATTACCATACCCTCCGTTTTAATTTAACCTGTCTCTGCGCACTCCCGGAGGTAAAAGTCTTTTTTTTTCAAAAAAAAAATTTAACTTAATTTCCCCAACCAAAATAAGAAGAAAGTTAAATTAAGACAGTGGCTCAACCGGGCGTAATAAGTATGAAACATAGATTAGCAAACAATACCTTCTGTTATATTCTTTTGTTTAAGTTATAAAAACTTAAAAGCATATATAATCCCACCCGAATAAAAAAAACAATCCAAACAAGTTAATAACTAAAGAATAATAATCCAATTATAGAAACTCCCCAATCTCTGCCCAGGACGCCCGAGAACAGAAAAAAGAAGAAAAGCGTACAAGAAGAATGAAGCTAATAACGAACATAACCAAAACATCCAAACATAAACCGACAAGCGGAGGGGAAGAAGAAGCGGGAGACTGGGTTATGGGGTTGGTTTGTAGAGGACGGCCTGGAATCCAGATATAGTATTACCAAAAGCTAACAACGCAGCAGGAAACATCATTACCAGAACACAACTAAGGGAAAAAAAAAAAAAAAAAAAAAAAAAAAAAAAAGGGTAAGGAAAAACCCATGCCACCAGAAGACAATTCTGATTCTAGTTCTGCTGGGACTTGGAAAAAAAAAAAAAAAAAAAAAAAAAAGGAAGAAAACCCATGACCAGAAGAACCAATTCTGATTCTAGTTCTCTGGGTTGGAGACCCATAAGCGGCAATTGTAGTTGCTATTTCAATCAAGTAATTAAAGAATTCAAACTTTAATTTATACAAAAAGAAAAAGAAAAAAGAAAAGAGTAGTTTTGCTTATACAAATTGAAATTCCATAACGGTGCTGAAATGTAGTGATAAACAAGAGATAGATAATACTAACCCTACGTGTCTAACTACTAAAAAGCTTTCCACCCGTGTAATAAAACTGAATTCCTCTATAAGAAACACTAACCGCTGGTGCCTTAAAAATACAAATCATGGCAGTTTTTGTTTCATGAGTGTTGTAATAGACGGTATCTGTAAAATACTTTCTCCCTCAGTTGTAGGAACCACAGCAAAAAGAAACAACAAAATGTAACTGTTAGAATATTGCAAATTGCAAACAGCAATAGCTTCAGCTGCCATTCACTGCATCCTTAGCTTCCTGATATTTGCATGCCTGGTTAGATTTAAGGGAAGCAAAGCACATTTAAAATTTTGGAGTGAAATATTTGCATGCATTGGAAGAACTTTACCTGAACTTCTTGAATAAATATTTCAAGTTCGACTAATACTTCCGAGAATGATGGCCGATTGGCAGGAATTGTTTCCCAACATCTCTGCATTAAGTCTAATAGCTTTGGATGTGCATTTTGAGGAAGTTCTGGACGCAGCCCCTGGAGTAAAAGATTAAACAACATAATTATAGTGCATTATACTGTATACATGACATCCAGACAAATTCACTTTCACAGTAAAGATGAAAAATAATGGTGTCCTGTGCTTCTAGAAAAATCAATGAATCATATGCAAGATGAATTAACATATAGACATGCAAACCTGTCTTACTCCCAGCGCAGCTTGCAATGGAGTCATGGTATCATATGGCACCTGCAACAACAGTAAAACTACCAAGTAAGAATTACCTTCAGATAAGTAATGTATGTATTTCTGGAAAGTTGAATATTTTCTAGACGCAAAAAGCCAAGCATAGGTTTAGCAAATACCTTGGCTGTTACCAGCTCCCATAGTACAATAGCAAAGCTGAATATATCGGCTTTTTGATCATATGGTTGATGGTTTATAACCTTGCAACATGTATATTAGCTGTAAGAGACCTAAAAGGGATGCAAGTGCTAAAGAGAACAGTACACTAGAAAGCACATAGAAGGTGGGAAAATTTTCTTTAAAAAAAGATAAATATAAGGGACAAACTTCAGAAACACAAATCACAAAGATAGAGATTTTATTTGTCTTGACAACAAATAAAAATATTGAAGATTGGATGTATTTATGATTTTTGGATATCATTCAACAGTAGACACTGTACGATAATCAAAATGCACAGCAGGGAGACTGAGATGAAAAGGGAATCCAGTAAATGTTCAGTAATACATTTAGAAGTTGAACATAATTTAAGGATGCAGGTTGGTTCTCTATGAAATTGAAATATATCATCTAATTACCAAACAAATAATTGCAAAACCAAGCAGAAAATGTTACAGTGTTGCTGTACATATGGTACTCTGCTACTTGCTACTTAACACACAAGTGCATGCAAGGAAACATGCACAAAATAACCAAATAAAAATAAAAAAGAAGAATTATATAGGGCTAGCAGAGAAGAGAGAAACACAAGACAGAAGCATGGGGAGGAAAGACCTATAGTTACTGAAGACAAATTAGCCATAATTACTCAAAAAATTATGAACACCGTCTTTCTTGTTCAGCTTGAGGGGAGAGAACAGAAGATGCGGAAGGGAAGACCTATTATTATGGCTAAAGTTTTAGCCAATGTTACATAATAGTATCTTTATAAAACAGAAGCAGAAGGCAATAGTTTTTGCCAATGGAAAAAAAAAAAAACAATTAGGAGTTGGCAATTCAAATCATCAGACCAAAAGGCAGTAAGATTGTTCTTCAAAAGTCAAGTCAAAAAGGCAAAAGAATAAAGCAAACCTAAAAGATACAAACCTCAGGTGCCATCCATCTGTATGTTCCAGTCTCTGCCGTCATTACACCCTCTTGATTCTGGAACCGAGCGACTCCAAAATCTGCTACCTTAACAACCTTGAGACAAAAATGTGTCTTTCTTATTATGGTAAAGAGATGTGAAACTAGAACGGCTTTCTTGGTTTGATTAGTAACATATAACCAAGTCATTTCCCATTATCATGATTTTGGTCTATTCGTTTATCTTCTATTGTATTTCCAAACCTCTAAAATCTAGAACAACCAAATTGTTATAAAATTAAGATTGCTTTTAAACATAGCTTCTATTTACATAATTTAGGGGCCGACAAAGATGTGACTGGAATCCAATCAATCAAAGTTAAAAGAATTACTTTTTGTGTGTCCATTAACAAATTCGCTGTCTTCAAATCCCTGTGAATTATATTGTTTTGATGCAAATATTCCATTCCTCTGCAAACATCTATTGCAAACTTCAATAACTGAGGGAGCTTCAATACATTATGGTTCTTATGCAAGTAATCATAGAGACTTCCACCATGCATATACTCTGCAAGCAAGAACAAGCAATGATAAAATATTAAACCAAACAAAAAAAAAAAAAAAAAAAAAAAAAACCATGAATAAAATTTAAACCAAACAAAAAAAAAAAAAAAAAAAAAAAAAGAAAAAGAAAACATAAAAATAGAACAAAATATACTACTTGGAACAGGAAGAAACGCAAGACGCATTTCTCCAAACAAAAAAAGTCTAATATCACGTTTCTCAAAAAAAACAAGTCAAGTATCATGTTAGCACCTTTTATTCAAGTTAATGTCTTAATGCATTATAAAGAAATTCCAGGTCAAAAAAATGTACCTAAAAACTTGAATCATTATTACTACATATTCATAATAATGTAAACGCATATAAAGACAAACAACTGACTTAAATATGATCATAAACAATAAATTAGGGGATTCAAAGAAGCATTAATGAATGAAAGAAAGTCCCAGAAGAAATTAAATTGTAGGTACATCTGCAGAAGCTCAGTTGAGTATTTCTTTGAATTTTAAGTCCCAATAATTCTATCACTCTTGTTCTTTATATGTATTAGTTGGCTGTCGATCAAATCAAAAATGGGAATGGGATGACAAAAAAGAACTAAAAGAAAAAGCCATATTCATGCAGGAATATATACCTGTTACTATGCTCAACTGCGGAGACTTTGTACATGCGCCAATAAAGCGAACAACATTTCTATGTTGGACTTGCCTTCATCAAGAAAACATAAACAGGACAAAAACAAAAAGGTAATCAATGAAAAGAAATACAGAGCGCACATATACAACTAAAAGAAACAGAAAAATACCAAAAACAAAAAGCTTACAATTATGACTAGGCAATGATTTCAAATAAGGTTATCTCAAATATCACTAAGTGATAATATTTATTCTATTGTTATTCATCATACAACCTAGGATGATGTGGCAGTGAGTGTTGGGCTAAGAAGTAAACATGCTTGCAATTTTCGGACAGCAAAAATTAGGATGTTAAGATGCAAGTGCAGAAATGCAATGATGGACATGCTAAGGAGCAACAGCATTCACAGGAAGGTGGAAATGGCACTTACAAATGAAGAGTTCAGAGAAGGAAAATTGAGATGTCTTGAGCATGTACATTGTAAGACCACTAAACCATCAACCAATATAAAAGGTTGAGCATATTGAGTTTAAAGGAGATAAGAAAGAAAGCGAAGACCTAGGATGACATGGAGGAAATAGTGAGAAAGGATTCAGAAAATTTAGATATGTTTAATATATAGACCTAAACTATAACCAGTTTGTGATTAGGGCTTAGTAGAGTAAAGTTGAGCATGAATCATTAGTAGCTAGCATATAATGCCCAAGGACATTGCATTATAGGCAAACGCATATTATCTGAGTGTTTAGCAAGTACCAGAAAAACAGAATCAACAAAAGTTAAACCATTGAGTCCGCTCATGCAGTGGCCAGAGGATAAGTACAGTATCAAAAATGAAAAAATTAACTGATAACACAGATATATCATAGATGCATGAATGCCATTAGCTTCCAGTATCATAGTAGTGAGAATGCATAAAGGAAAGTGAAAAAACAAAACAAACATGAGAGTTTGTGTTAAACAACTGAATCTTGTTAGTAAAGAGTTCATCATGGCAAAGTTCCAGAAAATTGGTTCCTTTCATGTTCAAAGTGACCTTGATTAGAAGCATCTTCAACATTCTGGAAGCTAGGATATGTAAAGAAATGATATAATTAGAATTGGGAAGAGAAATTTTCAAAAAAAAAAGATTGGGAAGAGAAGTACTCATATTTTGAAATTTCACAGTAATGTTTTCAGCAAGACAATTTCAGAGCACAAAATGCTAAAACAGTTCGTAAAGGTATCACCTTAGTATTGCAACTTCTTGAGCAAACTCCTCTTCTTGAGTATTATTTAAATGCTCAGATCTAAGAATTTTGATAGCAACATCTTGACCAAGGTAAACTCCACGGTACCTTCACACAGACCGAAGATGAAAGATGAGTAATAGAAAGGACAACAAAGAAATGAAGAGGAGTAAAAGTAGCAAATTTGAGAAATCCCAACTCACAGATCTCCACAAGACCCAGATGCAATTCTTTCTCCTATCTTCAATAATCGTCTATCAATTTCCCAGTCTCCAGATTTTGCCTGCACCGCTGAATATTTATCCACGGCTGAACAAGGAAGTGATGAACCAGACCATGACCCCTATATTTTCAGAGATTGTAGTCATAAAAATTTTGCAGGTATTGTTTTTCTCCTCATACAAAGAAGAAACTGGCACAAGCAGGAAACGAAAATTCAATTACAATTTTCAAAAGGTCTAATGGCATCAAATATCATATCAAACCAAGTGGTACTTGCTAAACAAAACCTAAAAGATGAGAATTTAAGATAATATCCATTCATTAGCTCAGAAATTTTGCAAATTTAGTTTCAATTTTTCAATTGATATGAAACTGGATTTCTATTTGTCTTGGCAATTGAGAAATATAAACAAAATGCCAGGGACAAACAACCTCTCCAAACTTGACCACTGTCAATTTTCATTATACTAACCAGCTGAATTTCTAAGCCAGAACAACTTAACAAGATGAACTGATGAAGTTTGTCATCTGGCTGTCAGGATACAATTTTTTTTTTTTTTTTTTTCAGCTGAATTTCTAAGCGCAGAACAACTTAACAAAGAGTGAAAACTGATGAAGTTTGTTTCATGCTGCTGTCAGAATACAATTTTTTTTTTTTTTTTTTTGGTAAAAATTTTTTTTTTTTTTTTTTGGTAAGAAGACATTTTGTCCATGTTGACTGAAGACTGTATATACTTCTAAATAGCAAGAAGTCTAGTAACCCAGAATCCCAGAACTAAGAGGATACGCTGCTTCTTAATTTACGGCTGACCAACAAGGTCAAAGCAGGGACCACATTTCTAGAAACCATAAATGTATTTTTTTTACACTATATTACATTTCATTGGGCTCACAAAATGCAACCTCAAGATGATGAGTCTATGGTCTTTCTTACATATTGATTCCTTCCTTAGCGTTTGTCTTTCTGATGTGGGATTTACTCATACATGATATCCTAATGAAACCAGCCAGCACCCGTTCATTCTTCTGACAACAAAAGAATAATCAATAAAATAAGAAATCCTAGGTGCGAGCAAGACCTGTCCCAAGTTATACCAAATGACTTCAACAACAACAATTAAGCTTTAATTCCAAACTAGTCGGAGTCAACTATATGAATACTTTATTTCTATTCCGCTCTGTCTATAACTAAGACGGCACAAATGTCAAGTTATACCAGGCAACTTCACCAATTCAAATTAACTGTCTCTGACAAGTATGCTTATTCATTACCAAGACAACTAAATTTTCTCCAGCAATATATGTCATCACAATACAAGTGGGAAAAAGTATATATAACCAATTCCTGGAAATTAAGAAAATATTTTCTTAGTTCTCTTATATAGAGCAATTTAACTTCTTTATAAAACCAGCATGACTTAATAAAATACCTATTTGAAACTAAACAGAAAAGCACAATAAGACGGGCTTTACCTCACTTCTAGCAATTGCTTTTTCCATAGCCTTATACAAACCATCTGTATCCTGGCCACAACATTGCAAAGTCAGCAACATTTGGACTCAGCATAGATCCCTGTCATAAAGAAATATAATCACAATGCTCCTTAATATAATATAAGGCCATTGTCCCTGGGATAAAAACATTACTTTTTTTAAATAAATTAATTTGATATTTTTTAAGATTAAAAAATATATATGTGGGAATTCATCAAAGGTAACAACTCAAGTATTTAGTTCAATATCTAATAATTTCAAGGAATTGTAAACACAGGCACATAGAATTGAAAAGATAGATATTGGCAATTCGTGAAAAAAAAAAAAAAAAAAAAAAAAAAAAAAAAAATGATATTGGGCAGTTCGTGAAAAAAAAAAATAAAAAAAAAAAAAAAAAAAAAAAAACAGATTTAGTGATAAAATATTTAAATCACATACAGGAAGTCACAAAAGAGAGATGAGAAGATAGAAAAAAAAAAAAAAAAAAAAAAAAAAAAAAAAAAACAGATTAGTGATAAAATATTAAATCATACAGGAAGTCACAAAAGAGAGAGAGAGAGAGAGAGACCAATAGTGGCCACGACTAGAACGAAGATATCCTATAAGCTGCATATCATGAAGATTCTTAGGTACTGATAGTGACTATACTAGCATCAAAAAGAATAAGAAATGGTTTCCCAAACAGCATTAACAATTAACATTCTGAATTATTAAAAGCAAGCTGCATAACAAATAAATATCAAGTAATAAATACCTGAACCGGCCATCCATCCACCACAAACACATCCAAAGAGTAGCCATCAGATGTCGAGAACACATGCGCTTCACGTATGTTAAGTCCTATATCTGAAAGCAAAGCAGAAAGCTAGAAGAAAATTGCACCTTGTCAGAAATAGTTCATGATTATTGATTCTGTTCAAATTTAATCAAGCTTAGCTGTTTGATTTCATCAGTATAGTTTTCCATGTTACACATTCCCACAGTTCCCAGAAATTTGTTATTTTAAACACTTGACATTTTTCCCAAGAGTCCTTTTACTCTGCTTCAAGAGCATTTCACAACCTCCATTGATCTCATTAAAGATATACCTATAAGGGGGCATCTCGTTTTTGTTCCTTTTCCCATAATGAACCTAATAATCACAACAACCGCACCTACCCTTTAACACTTCAGTTAAAGTTTGAAATGGAAAGAATATACTAAACTGCAATAAGATACAATTAAAAATATCCAGCAAACTGCATCTAGGGGAACTACCAAGCAGACAGCCAAAGTGACAGTGCCATGCCCTAACATTGGTTGTAATGCCACCAGCAAATGAAAAAAGAGCTAGGACACCCATACCAACAAAAGTGTTCTCTGAAACCTAATAAATAGCTTAGTGGAGTGGCATAGAAATGAATGTGAGTTATTTGGAGGGTAGTATTGATAAATGATCTTTTGACTGGTTCACTTTTAACTAAAAAAGAAAAGGGAGCAATTGATTTGGGATGCTTTTGACTGGTTGACTTTTAACTAAAATAGAAAAGTGAGCAATTGATTTGGGACATCCCAAATCAGTAATCTGGACTATTATTTTGGGATAGAGGGAGTACAATACTTAGGTCTTGCTGTGAAATAGAAAAATATTCTTATTAATGTTACTACTGACAGTTGTCAATGTTGGTTTGTAAATACAGAGAGAAAAAGAAAAACATAGGTTTTGGGGAAAAAATAAAAAAGGAAGAAAATTAAATCCTACTTCTATTTTCATATCTATATTTTGCTCATGTGATGTCACCAATTACAGATCCCAAAAAATTGTCATACAAGATCAATCAAAAGTGCTTCAAACCCTGGCAACAAACAAGTACTGAATATAATTCTTCCCAAACATACCTGACTAAGAAGCTTTGGCTTGTCGACAGTAGAAAATATTACTTCATGAAGTGGAACATGCATAAATTTTTGCCTGCATTTAATTTTCAAACATACAGCTTATTTCCCAGCATAAAATGCAAATTAAAAATCTAATAGAACAGATTTTTATTTTTACAATAATGTGTACAAACAATTATTGTTGATATATGCAATTTCAACACTATCTCAAGCTATCTGGTATTTTTTTTTTTTAAAAAAAAAAAAAAAAAAAAAAAAAAAAATCTGGTATTTTTTTTTTTTTAAGAAAAAAAAAAAAAAAAAAAAAAAAACCAGCACCATCTCAGCCAACCTATAAGTATTTAAGATAAAAAGAGGCTTAACCATTGCAAATATATCCCAAACTTTGCTATCTTTAATAAATTACCCCCCAAATCCAACTTACTCTCAGGCAACCCCCAATTTTAATTTTCTGTCAGCACATAAAAAAAAAAAAAAAAAAAAAAAACAGCACCATCTCAAGCCAACCTATAAGTATTTAAGATAAAAAAGGCTTAACCATCAAATATATCCCAAACTTTGCATCTTTTAATAATTACACCCCAAATCCAACTTAACCTCTCAGGCACCCCAATTTTAATTTTTTGTCACAATTGTACCCTAATCCCAAATTGGTCAAAATTAGTGAATAAAATATATTAAATGTGGGTCTCATAACTCATACTTGAATTAACTGAACCTAAGGAATAAGTTGGCTAAATTATATAAAATACCACATACTATGGCGGTTGTAACAATTGCACCCCAAAACGACCTTACCTCCAAATACCTCAATTTTAACTTTTTACCACAACTGCACCGCAAATTCAAATTATGGCAAACTTATTGTCATAATTTCACCCTGAATTCATATAAGGGGTCACATTTAATTACAATTCCATCCTAAATTCAAATTTTATCTTATTTTAATAGGACAACCCTAGATTACTGGAGAAGAAGTAATCAAGAGGAGATAAGTTCAGAATAAAGCAAAATACTTTGCAATGGCTTTATAGAAAAAGTTTTATGAAACACACAGTTTCACTTAACCAACCTTTTAGATTAAATTAACGTAATGTGTAGATGTAGGACTCACAATTTCTATTTTTTATTCAATAAATTTGTCATAATTTGTATTTAGATGTTTGGAGGTTTAAGGTTGTTTTGTGGTAAACCATGTTTCCTTGAGTAATCTAGGGTTTGCACATCAAAATGAGATGAAATTTTGATTAGAGTTTAATTATTTGCCATAATTTGCTTTATTCCGAACCCATCTCTTATTGATCACTTCTTTTCTAGTAATTTAGGGTTTGCTCTATTAAAATATGATAAAATTTTAATTTAAGGTGAAATTGTAATTAAATGGGACGCCTAATTTGAATTTATGGTGTAATTATAACAATATATTTGCTATAATTTGAATTTGAGGTGAAGTTGTGACAAAAAGTGAAAATTGGAGTATCTAAGTGATAAAAGTCGTTTTGGGGTACAATTGTTACAACCGCCAAAGCTTTGGGATATTTTATATAATTTGGCCAATTCATTCTTTAGGTTAAGTTAATTCATTCTTTAGGTTAAGTTAACTCAAGTATGAGCTATAGGTCCCACATTCAATATATTGTATTCAATAATTTTGACCAATTTCGAATGAGAGTATAATTGTGAAAAAAAGTTCCAATTGGAGTGCCTAAGGGGTTAAGTTGGATTTGGGGTGAAATTGTTACAAGAGCAAAGTTTGGGATATATTTAATGATTTAGCCATAAAAAAAAACGTATACATGTAATGTATACATGTCTTCATTTTATGTATTTTCCAAATTACCTAGAAAATAAAAGGAAAATTAGGTTTGTGTTTATTAAAATTTATATTTCCTGTCCCCCATAAAGAGTTCTCTTTTTCCATTCTAACACAAATTTTTTATTTTCGTGTTAATTAGTCTCCAACTAGGCCTTTCTAATATGATTGTTGGAATAATGACTCCTGGTTGTTTTTTCCTAAAATTTACATATTTAAGAAAAAAAATTTCTGAAGTATTTAAAATATTAAAAACTAATTATCTTTTTAACCCTTTATAGTGACTTAGTGAGGTACATGACAGAACAAGAAAAGATCATTGAAAATATTTTCATTTGAACTTGTCATCCAAATAAGTTTCATTTCAACTTGTCATCTAAATTAGTGTTGCTCATTAACAAGAGAGAATTCCAAATGCCAACAAGGAACAAGAACATGCTAGTATTAAAATAGCCAAAAGCATTCACAGTTACATAAGATATACATCATAAACTCACTGCATTAAATTCATTCCAATTCCCAATTTCTTCATGTACAGCTAACAAAGAGCAATGGCCTTTTTGAACTTTTAGAATAAAAATGTAAACACAAGAAATAGGAATAGGCATTACTGAAGTACCTTCTGGAAACATCCTCTCGATCATATGTTTCTTCCCTTCCCTTGGAAGTCTTTCTGACATCCAAATTTAAATCCTCGAGCTTGGAGCAGGGTTCAAAGTCAATTGCACAATCCTTGATTCTACATACAACAATGACAAAAAAAAAAAAATGGAGAAGATAAATTGACAAATTGACAGTTTCCTGCATACTGAAACCTTATCAGTGATGCATAAAATGTGCAAACATTTATATCCTAATATACAAATTTGCTCACTTGAAGAAAAGTGGAGAAACGTATTATAAATCTGCAGCCACACATGAAGTGAGATCTCTATAAAATAGAATACCTCTTATTCGATGACGCAACTCCTCCATTATCTGCATCAATATCTGGCCTTTCAGCAGAAATAATATCCATAAATTGTTGGTCATCACCATCATCTGCCCTAGTGCAAAGATCCTTCCAGAAGTGAAAAGGACAAAAAAATAGAAAACAATAAATGTTAGCTGCAGCATTGAAACAGAATAAAAGGTTGAGATCAAAACCAATATACCCTGGCTGAAAAGTTCCTCTATGTGATTTTTCAAATCTCAACACAATTATAGGACTTTGAATTTATTTCTAAGCAGTTAAGTGGAAATACATGTAGTATTATAATAAAATATTCTGAAAATAGGCTTCTGAGACTTCTACAGGGCAATGAAATTAATGAGACAATCATCATTCAGAGTTGCCCATTAAAACAAAGAAGAGAAGGAGAAAGATACCACGAACAAGTTCACTTTTCCAGCCAACCAAAAAAGATAAATTTTCATTTAATAAAAGCAGTGTAGAGGAAAATTGAATAGCCGAAAGCAGGGAATGGAGCTTCTGCACATGGATTGGCCCAGTAACAGTACGATGTCAGATAACTTCTAAATAAGAGAAAGAAATATCTTCAATCAACTCAGCAGTACAGAGGAAGTTCCAATAGTAAAGCTAGTTCCCATGATAGTACACTCCAAGAACATGTTAACACATGTGTTTGAACATCTGCAGCTTCATTGTTTTTCAGACTGAACATCCACTGACATGATTATTCCCCTTTATTTAAAGCAAGCATTTAACCATGTTACTATTTTAACAATTCCCGTAACAGTAAACAATTTCCATCAAGCAAAACAACTTTTTGCCATGATTCGATTTTGAAACAGAGGGAGTGTAACACAAAGTTGTATTCCTCTGGAATGCCTGATTATTATGCTACTAAACACCTTCAATATTTACAGATCTCTAATCTTCAGTATGAGAATATGCATACATATAGCATCCTCTCTTAAATTATAAAATAAAAAATAAAAAAAAAAACTCAGATTGGAGTATTTTCCGTCCCATTTTTCTCTCCAATCCTTTCATTATGAACATTACTCAAAAGGAAAGCCAAATCAAGACACTTCATCCTATTACGTGACATTCATACCCAAAAACAAATACAGGTTTCGTAAGCTCCCTCAGCAACAAAAGTTCAAAAAAATTGGCATGAACCAAATAAAAAGGTAGTACCTCCAAGAAACGAATATGATATGCTGGTCGTTTCTCTGGATCCTTTGCCAATGCAAGAAGTTTTTGGTGTATCAGAACATCATCTACTCTATCCATGTTGATATCAAGTCCATAACTGAAATGTATGAGCAAGTAGAAAGCAATAAGTTCATCAGTCCATAAGACAAAAGCCATGTGCAGAAAGCATGAAGCCAAGTATTAGCATACGGATGAACCCAAATAAGCAGCAAAGCACAGACACACAAGGGCATTGAAAATCTCAGGCCAAAACTTGCTTTCTATTTTTATGGGGAAAAAAAAAACCTTTCAGATTTTAAGCATATATGCTTAAACGCCAAACACAGCCTACCTTTTGGAAACACTCCAGATTTTCTTCCCGATTTCAATTTCCCTTGATGAAAAACCATTAGCAATTATATAAACACGAACTTAACAAGTATATTCTTATGGTTTTCCAGTAACTATAGTGCACAAAAATGCTCCGAATGCCTAAAGAAAACAGCCAGCCAAAATTCTAAGCATAGACCATCTTACCAAAACTTGTTGAATCATAATCAGCTTTATCAACCTAAACCAGTTCTTACTTTCAAAATCCGAACACTTAACCAGAAATTCAAAACTATATACACAAAAAATTAAAAGACAAATTAGATAGAATAACACATGCACATTCTAGTTATATACATATATAGCCACAAAAGATTCAAGAAGTCGTAACAACTCAAATTTTCAAAACAATAAACGGCCTCACCATTTCAAAACCAAATACAGAAACATAAAGACATGCAAATATGCATTTTACTGGTACAAAATCGAACCTAGGAGGCAATCGATTGAAGTGAGCATCGAGTAACTCGCGAAACAACTCAGGATTAGAAACAGCTTCCTCTTGTCCACTCTCCATAAAGCGATTAAACACATCATTTCTCACATCGTAGCTGCTGTAGCTCCCAAAGCTCCTCGGCGGCGACGAGCTCTCACCAACTCCTTCCGTCAAATCCATTGGATATTTTTCCTCTTTTCTTTTTCTTCTCTGCTAGTTGCAGCCTCCAGCAGCTACTCCTGCCATGGGAGAGAGTGAAGGAAAGAAGGAAAGCACGAGAAAGTTCAGTGTGGAGAGAGAAAATTTTGATCAGTAGAAAGGATCTTTGACTGATGATAGAATCTATAAGGAGAAAGAAAATTGGGTGAATTGGGAGTATTGAAGCAAAAGGGAGGGCAACTTCGTCCTCTGAACAAACTGTTGCAGGCTACGGAGGCTTAGAGCTAGGAAAGAGAAAGACAACATTCAATCGAAGTTTGAACAAAGAAGAGCAGAAGCAGGTCTGTTTTCGCCTTTGTATTTCCTTCTCTTTTTTGTTTTTTTCTTAAGTGAAATGGATAGGGTTGTTAAGTTTGGTGTGTCAGAGCAAATGTCTAAACTGCCCTCAATAATTTTGGGGATTTACTGGTTTTAGGAAGAAAATTACTCGAATAGCTATTTCGTACAAAAAAAGGAAAACGAGCTATAATTACGTTGCCCACGCTACACGCGTTTCATAAATGAGAATGCGATAACATAACATGATGGTTATAATATAAAGTGACAGGCGTCTTATGGGTATGGTTATGTTTCGTTCGTCTTGTTCATTAGCCACGTGCAGAATTTCCTTCTATGGCGGGACAAATTAGGGGTGAGCAGTCCTCGCATTCTAACAGATAACAAAACCAAACCAAGTGATTTCGGTCGTGACTCAAACAATTATTTTAAGAATTCGAATATCAATCTATCAGTTTGAATATATAAAATTATTTATTTTTTAATTTTTAATTTTTAGTTGCATTACTATATATTAATTAATTAAATTTATTTTTAAATTCAAAATAACTAATTTAATTTAAAATAATTGACTCGAAACTGAATTTAACTAATTCCATTTGTTTGAATCGATTATTATAACAATTTCATACCAAATTTGATTACGATAATAATATATTATAATAGATTGAAACTGAACTAATTTGATTTGATTAATTGCATAGTCATCCTTAGATAAATAAGTGTTTCTTCTTTTTTTCATAAGAAGAAGAAATTTCTCTCAAATGAAAAATTGATATTTTATTCTTTAAATAAGTAAATAAAACTTGATAAATTTCATATAATAATTTAATTTGTTTTCCTTTTTGAAAGGATAATAATTCCATCCATTTCACCCCTTTTTATATTTATTTGGTTGATAATACAACAACATTCTTCAAATGACAACGAATTTCTCTAATGGATGTTTGTCTCACTCTGTTTTTTTTTTTTTTTTTTTTTTGGATGTTTGTCTCACTGCTGTTTTTTTTTTTTTTTTTTTTTTTTGAAACATTGTCTCACTCTGTTTAATAAATAATAAAGTGAGAGTAAAATTTTATAAAATCTTTTTAATATATATATATATATATATATATAATTATATATTTATATATATATATACTTTTTAGATTACTTTTCTAATTTCATATTGGTTGAACTTGGCATCGGGTAATTCCAAGTTGTATATATACTTTTTAGATTACTTTTCTAATTTCATATTGTTGAAGGACATGGGTAATTCCAAGTTGAATAAATATACATCGACTAAATGACATACTAACCAAAAAGACTTAAATTTTTTTGTGCGAGAGGTAAATCAAACTTATTATAAACTTAGATATTAAATTAAATATATTATTAATTGAATGAATTTACTCTTAAGATTCAGATTCTTAACATATATCAAAAACAAATTCCACTTGTTTATAATTTAAAGAAAAAAGTCTCGTTAGAAGTATGAATCCGAGTTTTATTTATTTATTAAATATAATCAATAAGTAGATTTAAATTCCACTTGTTTATTTATTTATTTATTTTTTAAAAAAGTCTTTTACATGCTGAACTCTACAACTAAACATGTATATTTAAACGAGTTTGGTAAGCAATTAATTTAAAAAATATTTATTTATATACTTTATTACTAAGAAAATATCTAGGTTGGTTACAAGTCCTAGTCACGTAGCCGATGTAATTTTGCGTTTGTTTGAAGGTTCCTCAAATCGTGGGTTATCTCTTAGCTATTTATTTATAAATTGGGGGAAGTGATTCCATGGAATCCTCCACTTTTCTGCAAGGGAATATACTATTTCTTGAATTTGTCAACTAGTTCAGACTTCTCTTTCCCTAAATAATAGGCTTTTGTCGGAATAAATAAAAGGGTATTCGGCAAGGTAGCTGACGTTCTCAACATTATCTTTTCTTTATTTGTTTGTTAGAGCCTAAAGGGAGGTCCAATGCGCATGAACTAAAATTTCTTTTTTTTAAGTAACTAAACATTCAGCAACGCATGCGACGTTTAGGTCATCGTCTTTAATTTTCTTTTCTTTGAAATTTTCTACCATGTGTTTGAGGAAATTCAACTTACATAAATCTTTATACTAATATTATTATTATTTTTTTGTTTAAGTTATTGGTTTACCCAATGATAGTTTTATTTATCAATATGTATTTTCAAATATTTTGTAACTAAAAAAGTTGCAAGATTATAATAGTTCGGAATACTGATATTTTATAATATTTTATAATAGATATTTATTTTGTAATAATCTAATATCTCTTTACGCTAAAATCAACAATTTTAAAGATTTTTAATTTTTGGTTAATATATAATTTTTAAAATAATAATTTTTATATTTTTAAATTATTTAATAAATATTTAATCGATCTAATTCGTAATTTTTAATTAATATATAATTTTAAAATAATAATTTTTATATTTTTAAATTATTTAATAAATATGTAATCGATCTAATTCGAAATATTTTAACATTTTACGTTGCTTCGAATTAGTTAAGCGATTGAAGTTGATGTAGGTTAAATAAAGTACAGTGACGATGAAGATTTGATTCTCATAAATGGGTTTGTTTCTGAAGATACTAATGGCCCATTCCTGTCAATTTATATGTCTTCTTTTTGCATTATAGACAATGGCATAGGGACCTGTCATTACTATAATTTATCTTGTTGTAATGTTTCTTTATCAAGAAATGGCCAGAATCCTGACTCTTTGCTTAACTGCTTTTGCATTATTGGGTTAGTGGGTTTGAATCTCTGCCTGTGCAATTACTGTTTCAAAGGATTTTTTTTTTTTTTTTAAGATATTGATTAAGAAATTCTCCAACAAATCTTACCAGATATTGGTAAAATATATACTTAGCTCCCTAAATTATATCCTAATTAATATTTTATCTCTCAATTTTTGATAAATTACTATAACATTCCGTAGTATTTGTTTAAATTCTTTATCTAGTCTTTCTGTCAAAAAAATAACCTATCCCATTAAAAAAAGTGAGCATATTTCGTCTAAAAAGTCTATTTGTCTAATGGAAAATTTTGGAAAAAACCGGATAGTGAATTTAAGTAAAATTTGGAGATGTTAGTAATAACTTTTTCAAAATAAAGGGTAACAGTATTAATTAATATATAATTTAGTGACTCAAATATATTTTATTCAAAGATATTACTCTCTCTGTTCCACTTTAATAGCAACAAGTAATCATTTTTTTTTCACTTTAACTACTTATGATTTTGAGAATATATTAATAATTTTTTTTCAATTTTATTTATATTTATCAGGTGTTTTGTAGTAAAATTAAATAAAAAGTTTTTAATTTTAAGAAAAGCAATTTAGACATTTCACTATGTATTTTTAAAAAAACCAACATGTTTCAATCATTTTCTTAATATTGAAAAAAAATCAAATATTACTATAAACGTGGAACAGAAGCAGCGATTCACATGTTGTTTGGCCCTCCATTATTATTATTATGCCTTATGTCTTCTTGGCACGTGAGCCTATTATGTCTTGCGTCTTTTTCGCATGTGAGCTGTCTTGCGTCTTTTTCGCATGAGCAGCTGTTTATTTGATCAGAGTTGTCTTGCGTCTCTTGCATGAGCAGTCTTTTATTTTCAAAATTATGGCTAGTTCTTCTGTGGCTCCGAATGAGGTTCCAAACCTTGCAGCATTAATGATTGATGAGGATGAGGATGCTATCATTGATGCCCCAGTAATATAGGAGACATCAGTTGATTATTCTCTGTGCTTGGTGGGCCGTCTTTTGTCCGATCGAAGAGTAAATTTAGGTGCTATGAAGTCCACCTTGGCTGGAATTTGGCAACCAGGTAGAGGAATCCATTTTGAGGAGATTGATCCAAAGGTATTTTTGATTCGTTTCTTCCAGAACGTGGATTTTAATAGAGTTTGGAATAGGTCCCCTTGGACGTTCAACAACCAACTTTTTATGATTGAAAAGATCAACCCTGGATAAGATCCCCGAACTGTCGAATTGCTTTTCATGAAGGTCTAGGTTCAACTCAAAGGAGTTCCGGTGGGTATGATGATTGAGCAATTTGGGAAGCAGACAGGTGATTTCATTGGGAAATTTATTTTGTTTGACACTGGTAAATCAGACAGGGAGAGGAGGGAGTATATGAGAATTCGAGTTGCTATAGACATTCGAAAACCGATCAAAAGGTGGAAGAAGATGAGGAGGGCAGACGGACGTATCTTCGCTGTGGCTTTTTCCTATGAAAGACTTCCCACGTTTTGTTTCATATGCGGTCGTTTAGGCCATAGTGACAGTATCTGTGAAGTGTTGTTTCAAGTCGCCGGTGAAGTGGAGAGGGGTTGGGGTCCTTGGCTCAGGGCGAATGTCCGGCAAGGAGGTGCTGCAGCTGATGATCGACGCTGGTTCCGTGACAAATATGGTCATAAAATTTCAGATAACCCCGTATGCTGGTTCTGTGATTGATGCTTCTGTGCAGTTGCATGCTCCTAATGGTTCAAAGGATCAGAACTATCCTTTAAATTTGAAAGTCAACTTACCTTTTTCCACTGCACCTACTTTATTTGAAAATGGACCGAATAATGGGCTTATGTCGACGGATTCTGCAGGTGGAGTACTAGATTTGGTGGGTAAGAATTTAAATGAAGATGAAATGATGCTTGTGGCAGAAGGAAAAAAAAGGGCCAGGGTTGACCATGTGATTATTTTACATGACTCTGCAGCAACAAATATGGAGGTTGCGGATGACTCTCTAAGATGAAACGATGCTTTGGCGAAATGATGCTTGTGGCAGAAGGAAAAAAAAGGGCCAGGGTTGACCATGTGATTATTTTACATGACTCTGCAGCAACAAATATGGAGGTTGCGGATGACTCTCTTGATGAAAATATTCTTGGAGTTCATTCAGATGCTATCCTTGTTTCGGTGGGACCTGAAACCCAGGCCCACCGAATATCATGAATATTCTTTGTTGGAACGGTCGAGGACTTGGCAACCCTTGGGCAGTAAATGCACTTAATGACCTTATTCG